AAAGACCGGGATCTGCCCGAGCAGGCCTAAGAGTCAACCGTCAATGTCTTCGTGGATCTTTCGGTATAGGAGCATCCTGGCCGCTCGCCTGGGCCACCAGGGCCCTATTGGGGCCATTTAGGATGCCTTTGGGGCCCTGTTGGGGCCCTTTTGGGGCTCCCTTGGGGTCCTCTTGGGGCCAACTTGGGTGATCGGAACCTCACGCCTCGAACCAAGATGGCACGCGTCATCGTCCACGTCATCATTCAGCGGCGCGCCGAGGGGGGAGATGAGAGGGGGCAGGCCTTCTCAGAAGGCGGCGGGGCTTCTCAGACGTCCTCCAGCCTTCTGGCAGTCCCTCCGTGGCTTCGGAGAGAGGCTCCGAGAGCTTCTCAGAAGGCCTTCTGGGCCTTCTGAGGAGGCGCGCCCCCCCCGCCTTCCCCCCTAGGTGCGCCAGCCGGCCCCGCTCTCCTCCTCCTCCTCCTTTCCTCCTCCTCCTCCTCCTCCTCCTCCTCCTCCTCCTCCTCCTCCTCCTCCTCCTCCTCCTCCTCCCCGCCCCACTGGGGCGCGGCTTGATCCCCGCATGCCGGTTGGAGATCGCCTGCGAAATTTCGAACACAGAGCCCTGCGCGCCGCCGCGCTGGTCCCGGGCAGGCCGTGCTGCCCGGCGGGAGGGGGGGAAGAGGAGGGGAGGAGCAGGCAGGCGACGACACGTGCTTGTCACCGCATGATCTCGCATGGCGGGCCGCGGCCCGCGCGCGCGCACGCTCCTCTCGGGCCGCCGCCGCCCCGCGCCCCCCCCCCCCCCCCCCCCTCCCGCGCGCGCGCGCGAGGACGCGAGCGTACCCGGCGCCAGCGGCGAGGACGTCGACCGCGCCCTCCGCAGGGGCCTGCCGCCAGGGGCGATCTCCGCCGAGGAGGCGCGAGCGGCGTCCCGCCCAGGGGAGAGGGCGTGCGCAGGCGGCTTTGGCCACGCTCGGATCGCGGTTGGCCGTTCCAGGCCTCCCAAATGGGGTCCGAGTGCTGTCAGCCCGCATGGTGAGGATGAGCAACTTTCCAAGGTTACCCTTGCATCCTTCCCCCTCGGCCCATCCTTGGCCGCTTTCGCTGGCCGCGCCCCGCTCGCAGAGCGCAGGCGTGGCCTTCCAAGGCCCTCGCACCCTCACCGTGCGTCCTTACGATGCGGGTTGTCCCCAGGTGGGCTTCGGGGGATCGCGCTGCATCGCCGCTGCACCGGAGGAAGAGGAGGAGGAGGAGGAGGAGGAGGAGGAGGAGGAGGAGGAGGAGGAGGAGGAGGAGGAGGAGGAGGAGGAGGAGGAGGAGCGATTGGGGCCCGATGTTCTCACGCCCACGGCGCCGATGCGTCGCCGACGTCGCCGATGCGTCGGCGATGCGCTGGCGATGCGGCGCGGCCCTCCGACCCCATCCTCTCGGACCCCGTGCGGATGACCTGTAGCCTTAAGTCGGGCCTGTCTCTCTGCAGGAGGAATATTCCCAAATAGTCAAAAAATAGTCAGGGGACGCTTTTTTTCAGTATTTGCTGACCGTTTGGGTGAATGTTTGGGGTATTTTTCATGTTTCGTCCAAAATGCGCCTGTAGGGGGGGACGTGCCCGACTGAACTTTAGCCGTTGGGGGGGGGGAGGGGGAGGAGGAGGAGGAGGAGGAGGAGGAGGAGGAGGAGGAGGAGGAGGAGGAGGAGGAGGAGGAGGAGGAGGAGGAGGAGGAGGGGAGGAGGAGGAGGCGGAGGCGGAGGCGGAGGCGGAGGAGGAGGAGGAGGAGGAGGAGGAGGAGGAGGAGGAGGAGGAGGAGGAGGAGGAGGAGGAGGAGGAGGAGGAGGAGGAGGCGGAGGAGGGAGGAGGAGGAGGAGGAGGAGGGGAGGAGGAGGAGGTAGGAGGAGGAGGGAGGAGGAGGAGGAGGAGGAGGAGGAGGAGGAGGAGGGGGAGGAGGGAGGAGAGGAGGAGGAGGGGAGGAGGAGGAGGAGGCGGAGGAGGAGAGGAGGGGAGGAGGAGGAGGAGGCGGAGGAGGAGGAGGAGGAGGAGGAGGAGGAGGAGGAGGAGGAGGAGGAGGAGGAGGAGGGGAGGAGGAGGAGGAGGAGGAGGAGGAGGAGGAGGAAGGAGGAGAGGAGGAGGGAGGAGGAGGAGGAGGAGGAGGAGGAGGAGGAGGAGGAGGAGGGGAGGAGAGGAGGAGGAGGAGGAGGAGGAGGAGGAGGAGGAGGAGGAGGAGGAGGAGGAGGAGGAGGAGGAGGAGGAGGAGGAGGAGGAGGAGGAGGAGGAGGAGGAGGAGGAGGAGGAGGAGGATGGAGGAGGAGGGAGGAGGACGGAGGAGGAGGAGGAGGAGGAGGAGGAGGAGGAGGAGGAGGAGGAGGACGGAGGAGGAGGAGAGGGAGGATGAGGGAGAGGAGGAGGAGGCGCAGGAGGAGGAGGAGGAGGAGGAGGAGGAGAGGAGGAGGAGGAGGAGGAGGAGGAGCAGGGGTGGTGGGGCACTCCGCGTCGCCCCGGTCGGGCTCGGCCCGGGTCGCTGGCCGGGAGGGGGCCCCGCTGGCGGGCAGGGCTGCGGAGCCGCCAGGACGTGTCGATCCAATGCTGGGCCGAGGCCTTACACATTGCTCATGTCTAATTCTTCGAAGGTTCCTAATTCATTGCTCCTCCTCCTCCTCCTCTTCCTCCTCCCTCCTCCTCCTCATCCTCCTCCTCCTCCTCCCTCCTCCTCCCCGTCCTCCTCCTCCTCCTCCTCCTCCTCCTCCTCCTCCTTCTGGGCGGCTCGTTTGCAGAATGTTCACGTTGTTGATGTCGAATGCTTCGCGAGTTCTTTGATTTTTTGGGGTCCAAGATCCTTTCATGTCTAATGGTTTTATCCTGGGCCTCTTCCTGGCCACTAGGCGGCCAGGAACAAGTAGAAACGAGCACAATCAGAAACGCGCACGATCAGAAAGGAACGACGTGCACGCAGCCCCGGCAGGCGTGTCCAGTCGGGAGGGCCGGTTGTTTCAGCACTCTGGAATCACGGAGCGCGTTCCACCAATCGCAAAGCGCCTGCTCGCAGACGTCCTAAAAACACATGTTTGCTTCGATGTAATTTATCGTAGATCCTCCGCCGGGGATCCAGGCCATTTGAGAGTAGCCACTTTGCGAGTCGTGGAACGCGCTCGTCGATGGAAGGTCCGGGAGGGGGGGGGGGGGGGGGGGGAGGGGCGACGCCCTCGCGGGAGGCCCTGGGGCGGCGTGCAGGGTGCGCGACCGAGCAGGGCGGTCGGACGGCCCCGCGGGGCTCGCAGGGGGGCCTGCCCTCGGAGAGAGCGTTGCGAGCGGGCGCCCTGCCGCCGGTCGTGGGGCGCCGTCGTCCCGCAGGCAGGAGGGCTCGCCGCCCGGCAGAGGCGCGGCCTTCCGACGGTCTTTCGGGAGGGAACGAAGCACACGGACACAATGAAGCGTCGACTCCCCGGGGGATACGGGGAAATATGGGAAGTGGGATGGGAGTCAATAGCCCAGAGAGTACGGGGAAGACGTGGGGAATCCTGTCAGGCGTGTGTATATCTATGTGTGCGTCCCCGGGCCCCTTCAGTCTTGGCGTCGGGCATCTTGACCGCTCCGTGTGGTGTGCGGACTAGAGGCAGGCCCTTCCATCGTGTTGCAGAGCATTCCGAACCTCTTGGCGTTTGCAGCGTGGTTGAGCGATGCTCTCGAAGGAGATCCTTCACTTCAAGAGGACAGTCCTCAGGGAACACAGAGAGAGGTATATATATATAGAGAGAGAGAGAGAGAGACAACAACACACTACCAGTTGTGTATGAGAAGGGGGTACACACATCATAGCCCCCTTACCTGTGGATACGAGGGCGGGGAGTGGGTCGTGGGCAGCTTGCTGCGAGGCTCGGAAGCAAATGAGACAAGGCCTAGGACCGCCCCCCCCCCACCCGATTTTTCATCCCCCCCCCCCGCACCAGACTTTAGTCCTTGGGGCCAGCGGGCCTTTTTCAACGTTCCGAGCGATTTTCCATTTTACCAGGGGCCTCCAGGACCACCCAGAGGATGCCAAGAGGCCGCCAAGACAGACCAACGTGGCCAAAGAAAGCCACAAGCTGGCCAGAAGAGACCGCAAAGACCGCTCGAACGGGTCCAACAGGGCCTGCAGACTGTGTTAAAGGATTCTGTCTCCAAGAGGCTTTCGAGAGGGACAGAGGCGAGCGGAGTATAGTAGGCACATCGAACAGGAATTCGGCCTGCCAGACGGTGCCACACTGAAGTTTCTTTTTCCAGGATGGCTCCAGGGACCCAGAGAAGCTCTGGGGCACCTTTGGACTTTGGACCCTCAAAGATCGACCACGAATGTGCCCCAACATTCCTTTTAGCGGGATGTCACCTGATGTGTCTACTGTAGCAGAAGAGAGTGGAGTATCGCCTTCCTAGGGGTTGACACCAACACCAATATCGGCGGTGTGCCTCCACCGTGTGTTGGTGCTGGTGCCCATTTCCAGGCCTCCAAGAGAAGGAGGCAGAGGATCAGGGGCAACGTCAGGGGAGGAGGGGTTCGGGGGGGGATGCATCGACCCCAACCGCCCATGGATCGCCGATTGGCGGCCTCGTGGCCCACCTCGCCCAGGTGCGTGAGGATCCGCCATCGGGAGCTTGTCGCCGATCTTATCGGCGATGCATCGCCGATTCCGAGTCGATGTGCCTCTCCCCCCTGAGCCGGTGCATCCCTGACGTTCCCCCTCGGGGAAGGACAAGGACGACGAGGTGGACGAGAGCGCGGTCGGGGCCAGAGCGGTTGCCCTCGACCGATGGGGGCGGCGCGAGGGCGCGAAGCTGATGGTGCGCCGGGCAGCGCGGGGCGCGATGCGCGGAATCAGGCGACTCGGGAGGAGATCAGGGACGAAGAGGTGGACGAAAAAAGGGGTTATATGAGCAGGGGCCGCATTCGGGCTCCGAGCGCGCGCTTCCACGCGCAACTGCGGGCGGTGGAGCCCGGGTCCAGGTGCGGGAGGTCGTCAGCGCCCTGGTCGCAGCCGCGTGGGGCAAGGCGCGCTTCCGACCCGAGCCGCAGCCCTTGCGTGCAGATTGTGCGCGCATGCTTGTCTTCGACGCTTCCTGCTGCTGCTTCCTGCTCCTCGTCGTCGTCCTCCTGTTGAGGCTAGGCATTCTGTGAGGACCAGACCAGGGGTCGCTTGCAACCTGTGATTTCTGCACCCCGTTGGGCTTCCTTCCGTGCCTCAGCCCGAATTGCAGCAGCTCGGTTTGGTTGAACCTCGTCCTCCTCATCATAGTGTTTGAGTCTGGGGGGGACAGTGAAACAAATAATTGTTCGCGGCGCTGTGGTGCGCATATAGAAAACATAAGGAAGGCGGGGCAAACCGGACCGCTGGTGACGTCCCCGCGACCGCCCTGGCACTCCGCGTCCAGGGGCAGATTCCTGCGTGGGGTTCGCGCGGGGGGCAGGTCTTCAGAGGCCCCCCGCGTCAACGACGACCGGGGCCGACACTCGGCGCGTCCACGACGACCGACGCCGACACTTGGCACCGACGCTCGGCACCGACACTCGTCAGGAGGGAAAGAAGCACACAGACACGATTAATCTTCGATTTCCCAGAAAATACGGGAAAATATGGGAAGTGGGGGGAAGACAAAAACCCAGAAAATATGGGAAAATATGGGGAATCTGGTTATTTGTGTCTATTTATTTGTGTGTTCTGGGGCCCCTTCAACTCGGCAGCCGCACCCGGCGCCGACATTCAGCACCGACATTCGGCGCGCGCATTCACCACGAGTGCACTCTCAGCCCCATCGCCTCACCAGGGTGCAGTCGCCAGAGTGCATTTTGGTGAGCGTACTCTGTGCATCCAAAAGGGGGACGCCCAGAGTGCAGTGACCCACGCACGGCGACTTTCCCATCGCGAACAAGACAAAAACCGCTACACGCGCGCGTCGGCACATTGTAGGCTGCACCGAAAAACGAAAACGTAACGACCGCATTCCAACTTGGAAACCAAATCGGCAACCGCTAGGAAAAAGGCTCGCTTCAGTTCGGCGGTGACATTCTCATCGCGGACGAAACAAAAACTGCCACGCGAACGCGCGCGTCGGCGCATTGTGGGCTGCACCAATGGACGCAAACGTAAAGACCGCATGTTCGTGGGAAATCCCACCGGCGATCGCTAAGGGTTCACTTCCAATTCCTAGACCAGCATGCCGACTTTCCTATTGCGGGCAGCACAGAAACCGTCACGCGCGCTCGCGCGCGTCGGCGCACTGTAGGCTGCACCCACATACGAAAACGTAAAGACCGCAGATTGAGCTTGGAACTCCAATCAGCAAGCGCTCAGGGTCACGTCAGGTCCCGGGCCAGCATGGCGACATCCCTATTGCTGACAATACAGAAAACGCGACGCGCGCGTGTCGGCGCATAGTGGGCTGCACCAATAGACGAAGGCGTACAGACCGCATGTGAAATTGGAAGTCCAATCGGAAAGCGCTAAGGGTTCACGTTAGTTCCCAGGCCAGCAAGGCGATTTTCCTATGCGGACGAGACAGAAACCACCGTGTGAACGCGCGCGTCGGCGCATTGCAGGTTGCACCCTTGGACGAAACCAGAACGCCAGGACCGCATGTGAAAATGGGAAATCCAATCGGCAACGGCTGCCGGTTCACGCCGCGCGCGCGCGGGCGCGTCGGCGCATTGTAGGCTGCGCCATCGACGAAAACGTGAAGACAGCATGTTAAGTTGGAACGCAAATCGGCAACTGCTGCGGGTTCTCTTGAGTTCGCAAGCCAGCATGGCGACTTTCCGATAGAGGGCCGCCGCGCGCGCGGCAGCCCACGCGCATCTTGCGTGGGAAACAACACCGTGCGCGAGTCGCCGGAGCCGCCGCGCGAGCCGCGGCCCACGCGCATCTGGCATGGGTAAACTGATTGCGCGAGGGCGCGAGGGACATGAGCCGCCGCGCGCGCGGCGGCCCACGCGCATCTTGCATTGAACAGAAATGCGCGCATGGCAATGGGCCGTCGCGCAAGCGCTGCGGCCTACGCGCACCTTGTATGGACATAATAAGAAGTATAAAAAGGCACGCTGCGCGAGGGGCCATGGCCGCCGCGCGCGCGGCGGCCCGCGCGCGTCTTGCATGGAACAACACAATGCGCGAGGGGGCAGGGGCCGCCGCGCGCGCGGCGGCCCGCGCGCGTCTTGCATGGAACAACCCAATGCGCGAGGGGGCATGGGCCGCTGCGCGCGCGGCGGCCCATGCGCATCTTATATAGAAAAAACACCGCGAGATGGGCCGGGGCCGCCGCGCGCGCGCGACGGCCCGCGCGCGCCCTGCACGGAAAACAAAAACCATGCGCGAGGGGCCACGGGCCGCTGCGCATGGGTCGGCCCGCGCGTGTCCGGCGTGAAAACACACAATGCGCGAGGGTCTGTGGTCCGCCGTGCGCGAGCGGCGGCCCACGCGCGTCTTGAATGATATATATAAAACATGCGCGAGGGGCCGTGGGCGCCGCGCGCGTGGCGGCCCATGCGCACCTTGTGCGGAGAAACCATTATGCGCGAGGCGCCAAGGGTCGCCGCGCGCGCGGCGGCCCACGCGCGTCCTGCATGGACAAGCAACGCGCGTGGGGCCATGGGCCGCTGCGCGCGCGGCGGCCCACCCGCGCCTTGCGCGGAACATCGCCATGCGTGAGGGGCCATGGACTGCCGCGCGCGCGCGGCAGCCCACGCGCATCTAGCATGGAAATAAACGCAATGCGCGAGGGGCCAAGGCCGCCTCGCGCGTGGCGGCCCACGCGCATCTTGTATGCATCAACAGAACGTGCCAGAGCGCATCCTGTCCGGAAAAGTACAATGTGCGAGAGGGCACGGGCCGCCGCGCGCGCGGTGGCCCACGCGCTTCCTGCGTGGGAAAAAAAGTACCATGCGCGAGGGGCCAGGGCCGCCGCGCACGCGGCGGCCCACGCACATCTCGTGCGACAAAAGAACACTGTGTGCGAGGAGCCATGGGCCGCCGCACGCGCGGCGGCCTACGCGCATCTTGTATGAGACAACACAACGCAACTCGAAGGGCAATGGGTGGCCGCTCACGGCGGCACCCGCGCATCCTGCGCAGAAGAACTCAGCGCGCGAGGTGCCAGGGCCGCCGCGCGTGCGGCGGCCCGCGCGCATCTTGCGCGGAAGCGCACAATTCGCGAGGGGTCATGGGCCGCCGCGCGAGCGATCCACGCGCACTTTGTATGGGCAAAACACCATGCGCGAGTGGCACAGGGCCGCTGCGCGCGCGGCGGCCCACGCGCATCCTGCATGGAAAACACACTTCGCGGGGGGCCAGGGCCATCGCGCGCGCGGCGGCCCGCGCGCATCTTGCATAGAAAAAGACAATGCGAGGGGCCATGGGCTGCCGCGCGCCGCGGCGGCCCACGCGCATCTGGTAGAGAAATAACACCACGCGCGAGGGGCAATGGGCCGTCGCGCGCGCCGCGGCCCACGCGCATCTTGCATGGGAAAACACACGATGCGCGAGGGGCCATTGGCCGCCGCGTGTGCTGCGGCCCGCGCACGTCCGGCATGGAAATACCCGATGGGCATCGATAAAACAACCCGCGAGGGGCAATGGGCCGCAAACCGCGCGGCAGCCCGCGCGCGTCTTGTACGGAGCGGCACAGTGTGCGAATGGATATTGGCCGCCGCGCGCGTGGCGGGCCACGCGTATCGTGCATGGAAAGACACATTGCTCGAGGGTCCATGGGCCGCCGCGCGCGCTGGGGCCCACCTGCATCCTGCATGGGGAAACACATTGCGCGAGGGTTCATGGGCCGCCGCGCGCGCGGCGGCCCAGCCGCATCCTGCATGGACAAGCGTCATGGGCGAAGGGCCAGGGCCGTGCGCGCGCGCCCACGCGCATCTTGTACCAAGAAAACACCACGCGCGAGGGGCAATGGGCCGTCGCGCTCGCGGCGGCCCACGCGCATCTTGTGTGGAAAAAACACAATGCGCCAGGGGCCATGGGCCGCCGCGTGCGCGGCGGTCCACGCGCATCTTGCATGGACAAATCGATGCGCGAAAGGCCATGGGCCGCCGCGCGCGCAGCGGCCCACGCGCATCTTGCATGGAATACCACAATGCGCGAACGACTATGGGCCGCCGCGCGCGCGGCGGCGCATGTTATTTTTTTTGGGGGGGGGCAACAACGCGCGAGAGGCCGCGGGCCGCGGCGCGCGCGCGGCGGCCCACGCGCATCTCGCTGGGAACAACACAACGCGCGAACGGTCATGTGCCGCCGCGCGCGCGGCGGCTCGCGCGCATCTTGCGTGGAAACAACAACGCGCGAGAGCCCGCGCGCATCTTGCATGACAAAACACGATGCGCGAGGGGCCATGGGCCGCCGCGCGCGCGCGGCGACCCACGCGCATCGTGCATTGAAAATCAAGCGGGGGCTGGCAATGGGCCGCCTCGCGCGCAGCGGCTCACGCGCAAATTGAATGGGAACAATGCACGAGGGCCCGCGCGCATCTTGCATAGAAGGACGCAGCTCGCGAGGGGCCATGGACCTCCGCGCGCGCGGCGGCCAACGCGCACCTTGCATGGACAAAAACACAATGCGCGAGGGGCCAGGGCCGCCGCGCGCGCGGCGGTCCACGCGCATCTCGCATGGAAAAGCCATGCGCGAAAGGCTGCGGGTCGCCGCGCGCGCAGCGGCCCACGCGCATCTTGCGTGCAAAAACACATCGCGATGGGGCCAGGGCCGCCGCGCGCGCGGCGGCCCACGCGCATCTCGCATGGAAAAAACACAACGCGCGAGAGGCGATGGGCCACCGCGCGCGCGCGCGACGGACCACGCGCATCCTGCGTGGAAAACACTATGCGCGAGGGGTTGGGGCCGCCGCGCTCGCGGCGGCCCGCGCGCATCTTGTATGTAACAAGCACTTCGCGCGAGGGGCCAGGGCCGCCGCGCGCGCGGGCGCCCGCGCGCATCTCGCATTGAAAAGCACAACGCGTAAACGGCAATAGGCAGCCGCGCTCGCGGCGGCCCTCGCGCA